TCTAACCAGAGTACCGTCAAAACTCAGACTCGTCTTCGCGCTTAAGTCCCAAAACCGTAGATTTCAGGCGGCGCACTGCTTGTGGCCGCCTGACAACGTGACCGGCGAGCCGTGCTCGAACTCGAAGGGCGATATCCCAATAGCCGGGTGGATGGAAGAGTTGTAGGCCAACTCAACATCCGGCAGTCGCTCAACCCAGTCTTTCTGGTCGGGGCGGATGAGAGTGCGAAGGAGAACCTGTGCGGTCTGATGCGCCCTCTCCGTCTGGCCATCGGTCGGAGGGTGGCGAGATGAACTGGGCTTGAGAGATGAGCCCCATCGTTTGATAAGCGCCAACCAAAAATCGGACATGAACCGAGTGTCGCGGTCGCAGACGATCTCCTTGGGGTAACCCTTGGTGCGAATCCAACCGGCGTACAGAACCTCGGCCAACTCCGGTGCCTYGGCATGATAGCGACAAGGCAAAAACATGGCGAGCTTGGTGAGTCGGTCGACCACCATGAGAATCCCATCCACTCCGGACTTGTGCTTGGGGAACGGGCCGGTAATGTCCATGGCAATCGCTTCCCTTCGCCTCAACGGRACCGACAATGGTCGTAGCTCGCCGTACGGACGATGGTTGCAGGATTTGCAGCGTCGGCAAACCTCGCAAGACTCACAATAGCGCGTGACGTCGCTGAGAAGGCCAGGCCACCAAAATCGTTGACGAAGTCGGCCAATCGTGCGATTGACCCCGAAGTGTCCAGTGGCGGGAGCATCGTGGAACTCGCCAAGAAGCCGTGTACGCAAGTGAGGATCACTTGGTACGCAAAGAAGGTCCTTCCCCCGCGTGTGGACAAGCAAGTACCCCTCCTGGATCCGGTAGTGAGAAGGAGACGGATTAGGCGAGGAGCAATTCGCGTACTTGTCGCGAAACTCGGGGTCGGCTTGGTAGCCGCGGATGAAGTTGTTCCGCAGGTCGTCGTCAATCTTGAAAGTTGAGTAGACCGCGGTACAATGATCCGGACGCCGTGAAAGAGCATCCGCAAAACAGTTCGACTTCCCTGGAATGTGATCGGGAAAGAAGTCGAACTGGTCGATGAAAGCCATCCATCGAGCGATGGTGCTGTTGACGGTGTCCTGGGTCTTGTAGAAGACCAACGGATTGTTGTCCGTTACCCAGCGAAATTGGCTTCGACCAAGGAGGAAGTGCCGCCTCCGCTTGAGCGCGTGGACGAAGGCGAGGAGCTCCTTCTTGCRTGCATCGTCGATGGAATGCACGAGGGSCACTTTCTTGCTGAAGTACTCGACCGGGTGCCKGTCCACACCATCATGTTGCTCGAGGACTGCACCAATGCCATATCCTGACGCATCCATAGTGACACGCGTAGGTGCGAGCGGGTCGTAGATTCGCAAGACCTCCGCAGACAATAGCGCGGCTTTGAGAGCGAGGAATGATCCCCGCGCCTCCTCTCCAAAGTCAAACGGACGATCCTCGCACTGAAGCTTGTTCAAGTGGGCCGCAATCTTGGAGTAGCCTTCGATGAAGCGCTGATAGTAGCCGGTAAGACCAAGGAACGAGCGAAATTCCGTGACGTTCTGAGGCTCCGGCTAATCCTGGACGGCCTGAATCTTGTCCGATAGCGGACTGATGCCCTCCAATGTGACAAAATGGCCCAAGTATTCCAGCTCCTGCCGGGCAAATTCACACTTGTCGCGGTTGGCCTTGTACTTGGCGCGGCGGAGCGTCTCCAACACTCGTCGAAGGTGCCCCAGATGATCCTCCAATGACCAGCTGTAGACGAGAATATCGTCTAAGTAGACCAGCACGAACCGGTCCAACATTGCACGGAACTCGTTGGTCATCGCCGCCTGGAATGTCGCCGGGGCGTTGGTGAGGCCAAAAGGCATGACCACCCACTCAAAATGCCCGTACCGTGTCTTGAACG